AAATAAAATAAATTTAAAAAAAAACAAAAAACAAAAAACAAAGGTCTGAGTTCAAATCCCTGGTTCCGCAAAAAAAAAAAAGTAATTTTTAAAAACTGAGCACTTAAAAGGTATAATAATAAATCCAAACATTTATGCCCACTTTAAATTTAAATTGTGTTTTTCTTCAAAATAGTTATTGTTTTAGTTTGCTGACAGGTAAAACCACAGTATGTTTTATCTTTTACGTGTTTTCACTTCTACGAAGAGAATATAAAATCAAAAACATTTAACATTTATCAATGAGAGGTGGAGGAACGCCTCAGAAATTGCAATTTACGTTAACATTTTGATTTTTGGTACCGGGAATTGAACTTAGGACAGACGCTATACCATTTTCAAATCCTAAGTATGTATGGGGCCAGAGATAGCTCAGTGGACTGAGTGCCTGCCTGGCAAGCACAGGGTCCTGAGTTTGATCCCTAGTTTTTAAAAAAAAGTATTTCAGCCACAAGACTAATACTGCTTTTTCTTTGAGGCATGGTCTCACTATGTAGCCTAGTGTGCCCTTGAACTCATGGTGATCCTCCTGCCTCAGCCTCCCAAGTGCTGGGATTACAGACAGGCGCCATCATGCCTGGCTAAGATAATATTTCAAGAGGACAGAAATTATGGAGAAAGAAAGATGTATCTTACCTTGTAGGTATAAATGCACTCTCATGCCATCGAATTGCTAGAAATGTTACTCTCAGGCATTCCCCAGAATAAAAAGCAAATGAACACATGCAGCAGTCTCCAAATAACTGTAGAAAAATTAAATGTACTTTTACATAAATATAAAATTAATCTGAAAATAACTCAAGATATAAGAAACATACATATTCATCATCTATAAAAAAAGTGAAAATACTGGGATTCACCTTGTATTTTTATTATTTTTTCTTTCTTTTTGATCTTTATGAAACAGAGTTTCACTATGAAGCTCAGGTTGGCCTTGAATTCCCTTTGTACCCCAGGCTGTCCTCGAAATCACAGCGATCCTCCTGCTGGGATTACAGGCGTGTACCACCACACTTGGCTGTTTAATTTTATTCTGAATATTAAGCTTAAAACTAAGAATTTTTTTTTTCTGAGCTGGAAGTTGGTCCACAGGGGAAATCTGGTTAGAGGTTTGAGGTGGGGACTTTGGTGTTACATACAGAACCCAGAGCCTCACATACGGCCGATCACTAAAATTCAGGCTACCACTAGCTTCACCTCTACCTCTTCAGGCTGCAGTTTAAGCTCTTAAATATGAGACAAAGGACATCAAGGCAAAATTGGACAACATCAATTAGGTCTTCTTTTTTTTTTTGGCACAACAGGGTAGCTACTGATTAAAACTATGATATATTTCAAAATGACTAAAAAAAGAGGAGCACATTTCTAATACATAAGCATTATGGAAGTTTGAAGAGATGGAAATGGTTATTATCCTGGTTTGGTTATTATATTATGTATCTATATATCAAATTACCATTACATGCTCCACGAAGATGTATAAATACTAGGTCTCAGAAAGTCAAAAATATCTGTGGCTATAACTGAAAAGATTCAGTTATTATAATTATTTTTTTCTTCTTTTACATTCTTATATTACAGCATATGGGAGGATAGCAATAAAACATCAAAATGCAATTTCTACCCCCAAAAGACATTGGTCCATATACAGATGACCAAGCAGCTATTTTAAATGTTTTCTTTTTAGCTAATGAATCTGTGATAAATCAAATTGTTTACTTAATATCACTAACTCTAGCATGTTAAATTACAAAACAGGTTACATTTTAAATTAGAAAAAAGCAAAAAAAAAAAAAAGAAGAAAAAAAAAAAGAAAAACAAGTTCAGGGCTGGGGAAGATAGCTCAGTAGAACAAGTGCTTGCCTGGCAAGTACAAGGCCCTGAGTTCAATTCCCAGTTCCCCTCAAAAAAGAAAAAAGCAAGTTCTACTTTCAAACCACATGTTTTTCCTTCTTGTGGCACAGTAGATCATGATAGGCAAATATTGATGCTGAGCTATGCCACAACCTCAAATCACTTCTATTATTTTTATTATTATTATTATTTTGTATTTTATGGAAGGGTCTACAGCATGTTTAGGGTCTCACTACTGGATGAGATTCATAGCGATCCACCTGTTTGTAGCCTCCCAAGAGCTGGGATTATAGGCATGTGCCACCACGCCCAGTCTCAATCCCAGTCTCAGGGAGCCCCAGGGGCAGGGCTGGCACAGCACGCCCAGGGATTGAACCCCCAGTCCCTACACCTGCTTGCAGGCACTTTAATACATTGAACTATTTGGCCCAAAGTAGGGATTGGGGGGGGGGCTGGCTCAGCCCGCCCTGGGAGTAAGGTTGGTGCTGCACGTGGTGCCAGGGATCGAGCCATGCTCCCTGAGCTTGCCTAAGCAGGTACTTTAGCCCATTGAGCTGTCTCACCAGCCCAAATAATAAGAGTAGTTTTTAAACTATGACCCAGGAAATATAAACATATCTTTCCCATACAATACTTTCACAACTACTATGACAGTCAACAAGGACAACACACACAGAGCTCTACCTTTATGGTCGCTAACAGGTTTACAAGTAGGATCTGCTCTTAAGAGTCCAAGACCTCCACTCCTGCCACAGTCTGTCTGATTTAGATTTCTATAGTAAACCACCCTTCCCTGCAGGTCCCAACTCCTGGCCCAAGGTGCCACTCATGGGGAACTGGCCCACCAGGCCCCGCCCCCAGTCCCATCAGGAGGGCCACTTGTTGTTACCTAGTCTGGCTAGTTTGTCACCCTGATGTGGGACTGAATGAGGATGAAAGACAAACAGCCACAGAGTCAGTCTGGCACTTAGGCAGCCAGGGGATTGGGCACATCCTTCTTTTATTCACTCTGACATGGGCACAAGCAATTAAGGTAATACCACAAGATTCATCCCCTTTCCAGCAACCATTATACATGCGCAGGTAAACAATTCTCAGCTGGCCTGACTTTTCCCTAGACTCTGCAGCATGCTGTCGTCTCTGCATACTGCTTTGTGCACACAGACAAGTCCAATCAGGTCTGATTTGCCTCTGTGTCTGATTTGCCCACGGGTTTTACCTCATTTTTTATAAAAACAGCATTCACCACAGCTTCTTTATCTTCAGTGGAAGGCAAAAGAACTGAATCTTCAGGTATGATCTGGGACCATCGACCCACCAAAGGGGAACTCTTAGAAGATAAGATATTCTTCAATTCCAGATATTCCCAAAGATATATGAATCCAGAAGGCATTATGAGCAGAATTCTTTTCCCATTTCCAGATACATATAGGTGTAGTCTTAAACAGCTTGCTAATTATAAGCAACAACAAATGAAAACGTAACCTAATTAAAACCTCTGAAGTTTGAATTTTCCCAACAAAGTATGTAATGTATCTATTCAGGCAATAAAAAAAAATCAAATTACATTAACATTTAACATGTCAAAATAAAGGAATTAAAAAGTCAAGCATAAAAAAAAACATAAAAAAAAAAAAAGTCAAGCATAATGATGTACACCTATAATCCCAGCTACTTAAGAGACTGGGGCAAAAGGAACATAAAGTCAAGGCCAGCCTGGGCAGCTTAATACAATCCTATCTCAAATAAATAAACAAATAAATAAATAAATAAATAAATAAATAAATAGGGCCAAGAGGTAGCTCACCAATAGAGAATTTGCCTAATACATGTGAGGCCCTGTATTTAATCCTCAGTATAACTAACACACTAACACACACATACAGCACAAATAATGATTTTTTTTTTTAAATGTATTTGGATGTTGCAGGGTCTCACTACACAGCTTGGACTTGTGGTGATCCTCCTGCTTTCAGCCTCCCCAGCGCTGGGATTACAGGTATACGCTGCCATGCCTGGACTGTGGCCAGCTCAGCCCACCCTGGGGGTGGGGCTGAAGCAGTATGTGGTACTAGGGATCAAACCAAAGTCCCTGAGCTTGCTTAAGCAAGCGCTTTAGTCCACTGAGCTATCTCACTGGTCCACAAATAATGAATTTAAAAGAACAGCAATAAGTACTCTTTATGTGGCATTAAAAACTCACTGTTGTCACACAAATATTAGGCATGTCAGACTTTTTTTCCTTCCAGTGGAGTCTAGGTATCACAAATAAATACCACCAAGTAATCAAAAGCACAGATATACACACACAAATATAAATGCATGCAGACATACATATGCACACAGAAATAAATTTTCAAAATAGTAATAGGAGACTATTTTATCCTTTTTTATTTCTCTCAATTAATCCAATTTATACAAATAAAAAATTCTCACCTACTGCAAGTTTAATCCCATCCTTAGGCTTTTCAGTTGTTTGTATAGATTTCACGTAATCTTGATCTTTGTTCCAAAGGAAAAGGTCCCCTGTGGCGAGTACCCCAGCCAGCCAGGCATCTGTGTTAAAAAATGAAGTATGATTGCTAACAAAACATTTCCTTTAATATTACACTAAATAATGAAAAATATAATTAATCTAGACTTCTGGAAAAATCAGTATTTCTTAACCATTACTGGACGTTGTCAGGACAAAAACATCTTTCAACAAAGGCTGCAGACTTGGAATCTTCTTTGTTCTTCCTGATAGCAAATTGATTTCATTTATGAATTTATCATCCAAAAGAAAAACAGCTTCATTCTCCTATGAGACAAAACATGTAGAGGACTTACATAACCTGTCTCAAGACTAACCAAGAAAGGAAAAGAAAGAAACATTTAAAGAAGATTTTAATTTATACAACAAATCATACAATAAACATTAAGGTTGATATCCTTTAGTAACCTCAACATTTTTCATTCTATTTAAAAATACTACTCTTAATGAATAGAATGATTTGTTCTAATGGTGTTTGTAAATAGGATCACAAGTCTGCATCTTGTACAGCAATTAACCACTAAGAAGAATATATGCAGTGTATTATTTGTTGAAACTGTACTTCCGATTTGATTTGAAACTGTCTCATTGCTATCTGTTTATCAATAAAACTTTGAAAAAAAATTAAAAAATAAAAATACTAGCCAGGGAGATGGCTCAGTAGAATAAGTTCTTTCCTGGCAAGTGCAAGGGCCAGGAGTTCAATCCCCGGTTCCACACACACACAATAAATAAATAAATAAATAAATAAATAAATAAATAAAATTAAAAATACTTCTTGGGCTTGAGGTATAGCTTTCTTTGAGGCTCCACATTGTAAGAGTATATTCTGGTTCTTTGAGTCAAAGTAGATTTAAGTGAGGTTTTGTTTTTTGGTTTTTTAAAAAATGTACTTTAGTATAGGGACTACAGGGTCTCACTACACAGATCAGACTTATAGTGATTCTCCTGTTTTCAGCATCCCAAGTGCTGGGATTACAGGTGCGCGCCACCACGCCCAGTCTTAGGCACCATCTCAGCACATGCAGGGGTGGGACCAGCACAGCATGCTGTGGATCGAACCCGGTTCCTGTGCCTGTCTAAGCAGGTGCTTTAGTTCACTGAGCTATTTAGCTGGCCCTTGAGCATCTGCCCTGCCCAATTTTTTTTTTTAAGTGAGGTTTAATCTCATCAATTTTAATAGAAGTATGAGCAAGCTTTAGAAATTTATAAGCCCTTGACTAATTCTTCTTCTTCTTCTTTTACAAAAAGTAGGCTACTTTGAATTAACCTTGTTTTTCAGTACAGTGGTCTTCAAAGTGTCTCTGAGCTAGCAGTATCACTTGAGAACTTGTTAACAATGTAAATTACCCAGCCTCACCCCACACTGCTGACTTGGAAAACTCTGGTGGCAGGACCAGCCACCTGACAGTATTAATAGCTTATCCAGATGATTCTGGTGCACTGTAAAACTTGAGCAATCCTGTTCACAGGAACTGGATTCATGGTATAATTTCTCACAGGAAATGTGCCACTTGATTTCAATAAATAATTCTAAGAGAATTTTATAGGGTCCCCCACTTTCCTTAAGGTGAAGAATCCTTAACATATGTTATAAATCATGCTTTCAGTTATTAATTTATGGCCTATCTCTTCTCTCCTATCTCTGAGGACATTTTTTGGCAAACTCATGAAAATCACAGTAGGATGAAACACTGCTTGACTGTTCTGTTAGGGGAACTTCAGGAGATTAAACATTCCCTTTTGATGTATGCTATATCAGCCTTTTTTTTTGGTAGGTTCATGTATCATTCAGGCTGTCTTGATCTCACTATGGAGCCCAGGCTGCTTTAGAACTCATGGTAATCCTCCTGCCTCAGTCTCCCAAGTACTGGGATTATAGTTAACCTACTTTTATTTAAAAAAGAAAATGTCTCAAAGAAAACCTTCTTTCTAGTCAAACTACTTAACTTTCTACAAAGCCAATTTATTCATTATGGTACAAATGAAACACATACAAAACCCTGTTCAGGGGTCAGATGATTCTGGCGAGAATGTTGTTTTATTTCTTTAAAGCCATAGAACACTTTTACATCTACAGAAAAACCATACATTTAACATACATAAAACTTGTTTTGTACGAATGAAGAAAAACTTACATATCCCAACCATGAAATTCTCGGCCAGGGTCTTTTCTGCTTGATACTTGTTGATGTCAAAACTTCTAATTTTATCTCCATGCTTGTTAAGTTACCAATGACCAATCAAGCAAATCCAAGGTGCTATGAATAATAGTAATAATATTAAATAGCACATATTGACTCCACATCTCAATTTAGAATTTTCATAGTTTGATAATTATTTTTGACGGCTCAAGTCAACTCTTTTTTAAGGTAAGTGGATGACAATGCATTTAGTATCTTATTCTAAATAGTCAGATAAAATGTATTTGCTTTCTTAACACATTACTTCTTAAATACAGAAGATAAGTGTGAACTAGAAAAGATCTTGATGATAAGACTTTCATGTAACTTACTTTTCTGTGTGGCAGACTGGATCTTCCAAAGATGGCCTCAACAACATGGCCCATCTCATATCCTTTTACTATGATGCCTCTCCCCCCAGTGTCATGGTCTCTGCCTCCTCCCTTGAGAAAGGGTCAGATTTTGTAATTGTTTTGACCAAGAGAAGTAATCCTATGAATTTTCTAACATTAAATCATAAAAAGGTAATAGCCCCAGGCACCACATAAGCACTTAAGCTTATGAACCTATCAAGCTATAAGAAAGTCCATAGCTCATATGAAAATCCAAGTTGTGCACCCTGTAATCCCAGCTCTTGAGAGGCTGAGGCAGGAGGATCACTGTGAGTGCCAGGCCAGCCTAACATATACAGTGAACTCAAGGCCAGCCTGATCTACAAAGTGAAATCCTACCTCGAAACAATAATAATAGGAGCAGCAAGAATACTACCATCAACAACAAAACTAAGCCCTGAGGTAGCATGGAATGGAAAATATTTACTTATAAGCCCCACGCTGGTATGGAGATAGTTGTGGCAAGAACAAGAAAAATCTGTTAGAGCCCAAGCTGAATAAAGAGGATTATCAGGCGGGGACCATAGTGGGCATGTAGAGCTAGAGCCCAGGCAGGGTGAGGGGAGCATTACCTTAGAAGAATGGCCCATTACTGGGCGAACATTTGGAACAGTGTAAGCACAGAAATCACTCTGAAAGGGAATCTCATTGACCAAACTGATTAAAATCTGAACATCAAAGCAAATTGTAGTAATGGATGAAAACAGGAAAATTAGTCCACTGAAGTGAATAAACAGAAAATTTAACTAAAATAGGACAATCACACAGGATCCAGGTAACTCCTCGCTTAGCCTCGTGATCAAACACTATTAAGGAATGAAAGAAGTCAAATTATCATCATTTACAGATAACATGATCTTCTCCACAGAAGAACCAAACATTCCACCAGTGATTCCTAGAATGACCAAAATCAGTAGTGTACCAGCAATAAAAGTTACTAGCATTTCTGTACCTCATAATGAAACCAGTAAGAAAGAAATTAAAATAATACTATACACTATAGCAACAAGAAAAATTAAGGGCTTAGGAATTAACCTAATCAAGGAACTAAAAGACTTCTACAAAAACTACAGTACTCTGAAAAAAGAAATCAAAGACATCAGTAAGTGGAAGGACATCCACCAGAAAGTGGACAGGCAAAACAAATACTGAAGGCTTATTTCTAAAACTGATATACAGATTTAATACAATCCCAAACAAAATACCAAGAGCATTCCTCCCAGAACTAGAGAAGGCAGTCCTAACATTCATATGGAACCAGAAGAAATCCAGAAAAGCAAAAGAAATCCTGGGCAATAAAAGCAAAGCAGAAGGCATATTTCAAGTTCTGCTACAAAGCTACAATAGTAAAAAGAGCATGATCCTGGTACCAAAACAGACTTGCGGATCAATGGAACAGAAAAAACTATGCAAAAACACCTCAAGGCACATCCTGCTATCTGATCTCTGACAAAGGGGCAAAAACAGGAAAGACAGCCCAAAGAACAGATAGCCTCTTTTAAAAATGGTGGTAGCAAAACTAGCTGACAGAAACTGAATTTAGACTTTTACCTGTCATCATTTACTAAACTAAAAAAAGATCAAAAGGCTGGGAAGATAGCTCAGGGGCATAAGCTCCTACCTCACAAACCCTTGATCCCCAGTAGCGCGCACACACACACACACACACACACACACACACACACAAAACCCAAACCAAAACTGTACTAAAAAGATCAAAGATCTTAATGTGAGAACAGAAAAAATTTGTAAGACATAAAATATGTAAAACTTTTGATGACATAGTTATAGGCAAGGACTTTCTAAACAGAACCCCCAATTCAGAAGAAATAGCACCAAGAATCAATAAATGGGATTGTATCAGATTAAAAAGACAATCTACAGAAAGGCAAAATATTTTGCCAGCTAATCCACAGACAGAAAGCTTTTAACTAGAATATATAAGAATCTAAAAAAACTAGACCCTCCCAAATAAAAGACCAAATCAAAAAATGGACAACTGAAATAAATTTAAAATTCTCAGAAATAGGGGATGTAAACACAGCAGAGAGCAGCGAGCTGCGAGTTCCTCAGGGCTGCAGGTGAGACCGGAAACCACTAGGCCGAGAGCCTCAGGGAAGTCGGTTCAGGACAGCAGGTGCAGGTAGTCACATCGCTCTCCCTCACAGTGTCTGGGCCCAGCGTTCCTGGACAGCCAATCCTTCCATAGGCCTTCCTTCTCGGGGGCCACGGTGGCCTCCACCTACAACCACCAGGCCAGGATAATGGCAAGACCTGACTCTTTCCTTGATGACTCCTGGCTGGAGATGCACACCGAGCTGCACCTCCCAGCACACGGTCCTCTGACCCCACCTTAGCACCCCAGCCCACTGAGGAATAGAGCAAGGCTGTAAGACTGGCTGAAGGGCTAGCTGCAGCGCAAGCTCCAGATCCACCAACAGAGCCTGAGCCAGCCCTAACTGCAGCTCCCCCACCAGCTCTGGCACTGAAAGGAGAGCCAGCTGCTAGAGCCCCTTCTTTACCAGCTCTAGACCTGGGGCCCCTTGTGGTTCCTCTGCAGGTGTCACCCGCTGACCTCCACCTTCCACCAGTTCCTGCCCCACACCCATCCTCTTGCCCCTTGCCTGTTGCACTTAACTGCTGTATTTATTCAAACCTTAATTCTCAGTGTTCTGTAGATATTTAAATATATTGATCTTTAATGGAAAAATATTCTCAGAAATAAAATTAATGAAATAATAAAATAAATACAATTAGTTCTCAGAAAAAGTATAAATGACCAATAAATACATGGGAAAATGTTCACTATCTCTAGGTATTACAGAAATGCAAATTAAAACAACAGAGCATTGAGGGTGGTACTGCACACCTATAATCTCAGTACTCCAGCGGCTGAGGCAGGAGGATTGCCACAGGTTCGGTGCCAGACTGGGCTACACCAGGAGTTCAAGGCCAGCCTAAAATACATGGTAAAACCCTATCTCAACGAAACAAAACGCAATGCAATGCAACGCAACACAACACAACACAACACCAAAAAAAACCCTACTAAAATTCCACCTTACTCCAGAAAGAACAGATGGCCATCATCAAGAAATCAGATAACAATAAATGCTGACAAAAGTTCCAAGGAAAAAGAACCCATCTATATTGTTGGCAGGAATTAACTAACACAAATGCTATGTAAATCATTATGAAGATTCCTCAAGAAACTAAAACTAAAAATTCTATTCAACCCACCTATTCTCCTTTTCAGAAGGAGCTTCTCAAGAGTTAAAGACATCAAATTACAATGCTACATGCATAACTATGATTGCAGCACAACTCAGAACAGCTAAATGTTGTAAGCAGTTATGTGTCCATCAACAGATGAATGGATTAAAAAAATGTGGTCTTTATACAAATGGGGTATAACTCTTCCAGAAAGATAAACCTGGAGTCGTCTGTAGGAAAATGGATTCAGCTCAAGACTATAATGTCAAGTGAAATAAGTCAGACACTGAAGCTTAAGTATCACATGGTTTCTATGAAAAACCCAAAATATAAAAAAAGCAAAATAAAAAAAAAAAAGAAAATAGTGAGAGAGAAGTTATACAAAATGGAAGGGGACCAAGAGATTGAGGGTGGAGAAAAGGGGGGAGGTTAAAGGAAGCAAGAAGAATGAAGATGCGTCATATACGAGGACCTGCTCCTCATGAGGGTTATGATGAGTACGCAGAGCAAACACGTACCAATGACAACTTTAAAAAGGAGGGAAACAATGAGCACTATCAGAAATGCTACAAACGGAAATCATGTGTCACCTATTGGGTGAAAGAGCTCTGGACATACACATTTAAGATGCATATCCTGAACCCAATCGTAAGACAATATTGGGTTAGCCCACATTTAGTGATACTCTTCAAAATAACTGCTTTGTAACCTTCAAAAAGTCAAGGTCATGAAAGTTAAGAAAAAACTTAGGAAATGGTTCCACACTGAAAAACAGGCAATTAAATACAATGAGTAATTGAAAGCTTTATCATTATTTATAAAGCACAACATTAGGCAGGCAGATAAACCTGGATAAGAAACTGGAAATTAAATGGTTGTACACATAAATATCATTTTTTTTTTTTTCTTTTGGTGGTACCAGGGATCAAACTCAGGACTTTACGCTTGCCAGGCAAGCACTTAATTTCACTGAGCTATCCTCCAGCCCCCATAAATATCATTTCAGTAATTATCCTATAGTTAAGTAGAAGAATGCTCTTAATTAGGTTTTTTGAGACTACTGGTATGTAGTCCAGGCTGATCTTGAATTATGTAGCCCAGGCTATCCTTGAACTCTTTTTTTTTTTTTTTGGCAGAACCAGGGATTGAATTCAGGCCCTTGTGCTTGCCAAGGAAGCCCTTATTCTACTAAGCCATCTCCAAGGCTCTGGCCTTGAATTCTTAATCATTTTCTTGCCTGGGCCTTCTGAGTGCTAGGATTACAGGTGTGTGCCACCACATCTGGTTCATATATTTTCTATTTAAAATTTGACAAATCTTGAACAATAACAGTGTTTGATCATTGGCCAATACTGTATTCAATTAAATCCTTTTTTGGGAGTAGTACTTAGTAGTACTAAAGACTGAAGCACTCTAGGCAAATACTCTACTGAGCTACATCTCAGTCCTCTTCCTTTTTTTTAAGATTTGTTCTTTGTACTTAAGGTTCTACTTTTCTAAATCCATTTGGTTGATGAAATTAAAGAATTGAATTTACTTGCCATATTTAATCCCATCATTAACAAGAAAAAAGCTAAAAAGTTTCCCAGTAACACAAGATTTAAAAGAAAAACTACTGGGCTGGAGGAGTATAGCACGGGCAGAGCACACCGAAGGCCTTGGGCTTAATTCCCTAGCACTGCAAAAAAGGAAAAGAAAAACTATATACAAGACCTTTGGCCTCTCAAAATGACAGCTACCTTCATATTTATACCACTGTAGTTTTATTTTCCAACTGTTTATGTATTTGTTGGCACTGGAGATCAAACTCAAGGCCTTGTGCATGGTAAGCATATGTTGAATTGCTAAGCTCTACCCCTAGCCAATTGCTCAGCACTCTGACCATCTAGAAGACTGCTCTCTTAGACAGTACTTATATAAGTATATGTAAGATGTAAGTACAAATATAAAAATTACAGGGCTGGAATGAGGTGTAAACTTCCATGGAGAGTTTACCTAGCATTTTTATGCAAGGCCGTGAATTTGATCCCTAGGGAAAAAAAAAAAAAACCCACAAACACATAAATACAAATAAAAGAAATTCTTTGCAAAGAACTACCAAATGAAAGGAGAGTTGTAATATTAAAAAAGCATCATCTGCAGCTCCTAAACAACAAGGGCAGCTAAAATTACTAGATGAAAATACACTGGTAATTTTGTAATAAAAATATAATAGATGACATGTCCTAAATACACCAATTAATCTTAAAATGGGTAACAGTGAGATGAAGAGATGAGATTTATCTTGGAATGATATTATGTACATAGGAAGTATATACAACCATCCATGAAACATTCCTGTAAAAACTGGGCTAGGGATATAGCTCACAATTATAGGGTTTGCCGAGCAGGCACAAGGCCCTGGATTGATCCCTAGCACCACACAAAATAAAAATAAAGAATTTAAAATTAAATTTGAACCTGTGTCTAAATTCAATCACCGCTTGACAAGAATAAAAAGACTGAAGGAAATCTTAGCACATCAGAAGAACATAATCAATCAAATTAAGAAAAAAATCTAGATACTATTCTACAGAATAAATGATGTGGTTTCTTCAACAAAAAAAAAGTGGCATTTTTAAAAGGAGGAAGAAGAAGCCATTATATAACTAGACATTGTAGGACTGAATAAATGAATATATAGATAGGAGAAATGATTTCAAAATCTAAAAGTTGCCAGAGGTGGTGGTGCATGCCTATTACCCCAGGTATTGAGGCCGCCAAGGTCAGTCGTATCTGGGCAAGGCTCTGTCTAAAAATAAATTTAAAAAAATTTGAAAGGATTGGAGAAGTAGCATGTAGCTCAGCACTCCCTGGGTTCAACTCTTAGTATCCAGAAAACACACACACACACACACACACACTCTTTAAAAAAGACAACTGAGTGGGCTGGGGAGATGGCTCAGTGGTCTAAAGCACCTACTTAGAACAAGCTTAGCAAAGCACAAGGGACCGCGGTTCAATCCCCCAGCACCACATGCCAGCCAGCCCCGCCCCCTGATGGGCTGAGCTGGCCACACACACACACACACACACACAAAATTTTTTTTTTAAAAAAGACAACTGAGAAAAACTGCGCCTAATTCATGAAGAATCAAGATTCTATCAGTGAGTGACTAATAGAATCTACCAAGTGTGAAGAAATTAATACTACTTTAGGTGTTGTAAAATATTGCAAGCAGGTGCAGGGGCCCGGGGTTCAATGCCGGGGTCTGCTGTGCCGGCCCCACCCCAGGGGTGCACTGAGACAGCAATTGAGCCTGGGCGTGGTGGCGCTCGCCTGTAATCCCAGCTCTTGGGAGGCTGTAAACAGGCCGATCTCCACGAGTCCAATCTAGTAGTGAGACCCTGAACACCCTGTTGACCTTTCCCTAAAACACACACACACACACACACACACACACACACACACACACACGTCCTAACATCCTAGATAGGAGACACAGTATATGCTTATTTATGAGAGAAATTTGCTTTAAAATACCCCAGGTATATTTGTTTTGGAATTGAAATGTAAAGGTTAAAAACATCTGAGGACAGAACCTTTTTCATCTTTTAGAACTCTAAAAAACCACGCAGTTACGTAGCAAAGGTTTTTTCTGCTACACAGCATCTTGCCTCTCCAAACCAATGGAGCTGGAGGGGCAGTAACGAGCATCACAAAGCGTAATTAATTAGTGAACGAAAGAGCTACTCAATCATGCAAAATACGTTAGAAGGAATAATATATACTAAGTACGGGGGTTGGGGTTACCTGTATTTAAAGCAAATTGTGGGATGAAATTTCAAGAGAATACGTGAGGTTCGTCCGCGGTGCCCACCTCGGAGGAGTCTCGGAAATCTCGTCCATTCCTGAGTCGCTACTGATCACCGTCTAGGGTCCCAATCAGGGGTCTCTCCCGGACACTCGCAGGGAAGGCGAGGCCGGGCTGGAAGGGCCGCCAGGCCGCGGCGGGCGGGCGAGCGGCGCGGAGGGCGAGG